CCATTAGTATGATTTGTTTGTTAAATTACCATATAATATTTATATATAAATGATAAATAATCATTCATTGCACTTGATGTTACTTTACCACATAATAAAACTTCAATGTTGTCTGATCCCAGGATTCAGTTCATGTCATTTCTTCACTACTTTCTTCTGACTGTTTTGATTATAAGTCAGCGTCAATCTATCCCTTTAACTGTGAGCAATGTCTTGATGTCTTCATGAATAAGATACAGGTACACAGTGACCACACGGCTGTAAGGCAGGCCCACTGGCCACCAAACACTGTGTGCTTTTGCTTAGAATTTTAACCTTTTACCTGTGACTGCCTCTTACTATTACTCTGAAGCACCGAGGGTTGGGAGGTGGGTAAAGGGGAGGGGCAGCGGTGCATTTATCCTCCTTACTCACCGAGCTCTTCATCAGTCAGGACGACTTTCCTCTTTAATGAGTTGTCGTAATGATTCTTCCACTCCCAAGAAATAAATTTCTATTTAAGTTTAAGTTAGTTTAAGTTTCTAGTGTGCACCTAAAAATAAACATGAAATACACAGGGGATGTGCAACATAAAGTGCTTATTGGGAGTCTTGACATTTAGGAATACAAAATAAATAAAAAGGTACACCGTGCAAGAGTTAAAAGAATGCGTATCTAGCGGTAAGGTCACATTGTGCCTGACCTACCATCCAATCATGAAGGAGATCATATAATAGTTTTCAGTTTTCAATAGAAATCACCACACTAAGATTACAACCTTGTTATTCAATGTGGTACTGGCGCTAAAGATGGAGAGAGTAATGTGTAATCAAGTAATCTATTACTGATGTCAGGTACCGGCGTACTTTTCTAGATTATGTCCTACAACACAACAACAGCACCACAACCCACGGTCTATTTCAGTCTGTACAGAATCCAGAGCTTACCGTTCTGTTTTGTTCTTTCTTGACCCTTGAATCTTCAGGCGTGGTGATGCAAAATAATAAATGCCACCAAACATTGCCAAAAATTGTAGTAGTTAGGAAGATTTTAAAGTAGCTTTACAGTGAAAAGTAGGAACTAACAAAAACTTTTGTCTCTCGTATGTTAAAGCCAAAATCAAGGCCATTGGCTATTTTTTAATCCAACAAAAGGAAATGTTCTGTTTGTGCACAAAAACGTTTCCATGTCAATTTGACCAGGCTCTGAAAAAATAAATTAATATATGTACTAAAGTCTATACACTCCTGTTTCCTTGGGTGGTCCGCCTATGCCTGTAGGTGGGGTGGTTTTGAAATCTTACGTTCATGTGCCAATAGATTTGGAGTAATACAGAATCAGAATAAACCTACACAGTGTACTGTCGCGACAAAATGCAACACTAACCATTTACGATCATTAACATTCAAGGGTCATAATTCAAAGGTAAAGAGATGACCTAGGACACAGGTGTACTGCAACATCAGAGGTTTTCTGAAATAAACAGCATTGTTTTAAAATACCATTAGTAATAAAACATTTTTTTCTTTGTACATTTTTACATCTCACTCAGAAAAATCCATACAAGTTGACGAAGAAAAAAACCTGATTCATGATTCAAGTTAAAGATCTTTTACAATTTTACACTTTTGAGACACTTGAACAGCTCAGCTTCACAGCTCCAACTCCACTGGTCCAGGATCAGCCATCATTCCAAGGAAAATGAAGACTCACGGCTACACTACACCAAATCCATAGCCACTCTGTCAGGTGTCATCGGTCCTGTCTTGACTGAAATCCACAGGTCATCATTGTTAGACAAATGTTTTCTCTTCTTTGTCTCTGACCTTGTTGTTTCCATGGCGGCTCTGTGGCCGCAGCAGCAACAACTGCGGTTGGCATGGCGACAGCAGCAGCAGTGACAGCACAAGACCAGAGTAATGATGAGGACCAGCAGGGGCAGAGACAGGAGGACCACCAGACAGATCGTGTTGTAAACCCCCTGGCTGTGCTTGGTCAGAACTAATGTCCAGATTTGATAGAAAAAGTCCTGGATGCTCTTTAGTGTGTCCTCCATGATTTTAGAAGATGGAACTGTGGCTGCTTTCAACTGGGTTTCTGTGATGCAGACGTATGAATTTGAATTGGTTATGTATCTTAAAGAGCTGGTGAATGTTCATAACAGACTGTTGGGGACAAAGAGGTTGATGCACCCTTTATTTTAGATAAAAAAGCTATTTTTTAAATTGCATTTGGCTCGAGTTGCTATGCAACTGTCTAATAAATGTCTAATATTCACCAGCTCAACAGAAGGCACATCAGACGTGACAATGGTAAACTCTTCAGAGCCTGAGAACCAGCAGTTATTTGATGACGGTGCTTGACACCTGTGCTGCTGACGTTGTTTGACTTAGGGAGAAAAATTAGAAGAATTTTTAAGAATGTTTACTTTGAAGTTCTCTTCGAATCCCCTTCAATCCATCATTTGAGGAGAAAAATCCCAAATTGCTGCTTTACTTTTGTGCCACTTTGCAGTCTTCACTTGGTTTTCTTGACCTTTGTCCTCCAAGGTTGTTCTCTCACCCGCTCACCACTTAGCTTCTGGTTGTGCTTAATCCAGTTGCAGAGATCAGGTTGAGCTTTGTTGTGTCACTGAAATTAAAAACAAAAAGAGACAGAGTGAGCATGGATGAAAATGTGGGTTCCCCATTGTTTTTTTCCTCTGCCTCCAATCCATCATTCCATGTTTCAGTGTCTCAACCACTGCTCACCCACTCCTGTCAATGTCAGACTTTTATTCTCTCGTCCACACATTAATACTTCAGCAGAGTCATTCAGGATTCAGAGGAGAGTTTTCAGAGACGCCCGCTGTGGGAAACGAGGGGTTAAGAGAGGGGAGGAAAGAACAAAAAGAGAGAAATGGAGGGATAATTTGTCAGATTGAAACAGTGACAGTAGGAGGTAAGCAGTCTCTCTAAGAGGTGGGGTCTGTGAAAGCACAGAAGAAAGACGGGTGGAGACAGGCTGGGGAGAAAGAGACCTGCTGAGGAGCATTCATTTGAATATACCAGACTAATGACTCCCATTGGAGGAGATAACTTCTGACCTCATTTAACTGAAATCTCTGTCAAATGTCCTGCTGGCTTCATTTAAACACTACTCTGAAGAGTTTGCCAGGAGAGGAAACCAAAAGGTGAAAGTTCTGGAGGTCTCCGAAAGTAAAGTTTTTAAACAAATGTTCATTATTGTTTAAATGACTGATTCCTCCACCTCGGGGAAGCATCTTTAATTACCATCAGTCGTCAACATTGGGCCGAAAAGATTGTCTCTTGATTTATACAGTGTTAAACTGAGCAGCACATTTATCTCACATGTGGCTCCTTTACAGATGGAGTAAGACGCACCTGCATGGGTAAAATGAAAAAAAAAAAAAGAAAAACAAAAGACTGGCATGGCTGCCACTGTGTGCAGTGGTTTATGTGAACAGTGGTTCACTGACTTCCTGTTCTTTTTCTTCTTCTTTAATACCAGTGTTTACTATTTTAAGCATAAACATGTTTGGCATGAGTTATGTATAAGTTTTACTATTTTGAAACTGCAAACCATAAATTTATTTTTGTGTTGCCAGAGGTGTGAGCCAACCAAAAAGGCCACAATATTTACAAGTAGGACTTGTCAATAAATTAATATTGAAAGTTATTTGATTATTTACAGGATAGCTGTGAATCAATTATTAGTTGTGAAAAAAAATCTACTGAAGAGTAGCTGTATATGCTATATGCTATATATATATATATATAT